CCTCCTCTGAGTCCTTCGGTGCCAAGTGCATGCTTCTTCCAGGAGCGGTTTCTTCCTCAGCGAGTCTGGAGGTGACGCTGGAGGAGGCGGCCAGTCCACTCCCTTCTCGAGATTTCTTTCCCTTCTTTCTATGGGATGCACACTCTGTACTCAGGGCCATCTGAGGTCATCGAGGAGCCAGCCCAGGACAGGACGGGCAGCCACGTGTGGGCAAGGGCACCCCCCACCACCCCGCCAACCCACGCGTCCCCTGGGGCTGGGGTCTGCAGGCCTTGGCATGTCTGCCCTGGGCTGGGTGGGTACAGTGGCCCAGGCCTAGGTATGGGGGTGACCCAGGTTTGGCCCCAGACCTGCCCCCTGCTCCCCGTCTCTAAAGCATGGCCTGGAGCAAGTCACCGCGACTCCGAGTTCAGTGTCGTCACTTCACAAGGGAGAGGCTGGCCCTGCCTCCGAGTCTGTGCAGAGGAGGACGTGCCGGGTGTGTGGCTGTCAGGGCCCATTTCCGTCCTCATTTCCCCATTTCTTGTCTGAGTCCCTGGGGCCATAGTTTCCACCCTAATAGCAGTCAATCAAGAGTCCCTTCCAGCCCGCGACCAATACGGGGGGAGCTTCCCTTAACCCGAGAGCTCAACAGCACCCCAACACTGAAGAATTCACGTCTGTTTTCTTCTCATGCGCTCTTTAATTGGATGAGTTTTGAGAAAGCACTCACTTCCCACTGATGTTCATTTCAGGTTAAGAAGCATGACCTCATCATTTCCTGAACTCCTCTTAGGTAATTGAGCGTGATGGGTCAAGGTAGATAACTGGTTCTCCTCCTTCCCACTTCTCCAGTGTCCCTTGTGCTGTTTGCCTTGAGGGGTGACAACTCTGAGCACTTGGGGGCCTGACAGGCAGCGGGGCAGCGGGACCGCCTGGGAGGGAGCAGCCCTCACTCCCACCTGCCCCACCGTGACTGGGACTCAGGCCCAGTGCCCCTAGGTCTCCGAGTTTTCAAGACAAGCCCGAAATCTGGCTTCTGTCTGAAATCTTCTTATTTTAGATGTCGGCACGTAATTCATAAAAAAAATTAAAAAAAAAAAGCCCTATGACTCAGGATTGGGCCAAAAGGAGTCCACCTGCAGGTAGAGTTGGCTGCCAGCCTAAAAGTTTCCACCAGGTGTGGGTGGGCCTGACCCTGACGGGGCACCCACGGGAGTGGGCTTCCAGGGTGCAGGGGACACAGCACACAGAGACGTGGACACCCCCACCTCTGCAAGGCTGGCATTACCCCCGTGGATCCAGAAGTGGGGTGCTCAGCTTGATTCCACTTGCTTCTCATCATAAAGTGTCCGCCATGGAATGGACACTGTGGGTCCAGGAATCACTCTTTGGGAAGCTTGCTCACCCAGATAAAACCGTTCTTGCTGAACTAAAAGCTGTTACCTGAGTGTCCTCTCACTGGTGATGGCAATGACCCATCTCGAAAGCCAAGTCAGCCAGCACACGGACCAGAGCACGTCAGCCTGCGTCCCCGTGGACAGAGCCGCTGCAGCCCCATCACCGCGTGTCCTCAGGACCGGGCACTCTGGGGAGGGGCCACGGCGGGGCCAGTGGGGACGGGGAGCCCTCTGCCCCGGCACCCAGGACACCCAGAGCAGCCAGCGGAGGTGCACAAGTAAACGTCCTGTCCCTCTCCTTTCACTGCCGAGAATAAACGTTTGCTCCAACTCATATCCATTGAGTCAGTGATGGTATCAAACCATCACATCCTCTGTCGTCCCCTTCTCCTCTTGCCCTCAACCTTTCCCAGCTGATATCAGGGGCTTATACCAATGAGTCAGCTCTGCATCAGGTGGCCAGAGTATTGGAGCTTCAGCTTCAGTATCAGTCCTTCCAACGAGTATTCGCGGTTGATTTCCTTTAGGATTGACGTGTTTGATCCCCTTGCAGTCCAAGGGACTCAAAGGTCTTCTCCAACACCACAATTCGAAAGCATCCATTCTTCAGTGCTCAGCCTTCTTTATGGTCCGACTCGCACGTCTGTACATGACTACTGGAAAAACCATAGCTTTGACTAGACGGACCTTTGTCAGCAAAGTGATGTCTTTGCTGTTTATCTCATTTGGCATCAAATTTAAGTTCCGTTAAGTGCCTGAATTTTACAGGGGTGGACCGTTCTGATACTTTCTTCTTGAGTGAATTCTCAGAGCCCTTGTCCCTTTCCTAAATCCTCCATCCCTTGAGTTCAGCTCAAATCCCTCTACTGTTACAAAGAGGCCAAACTAAGTCCTGTGAGCTCTGGCGTCTTAGCACTTGGCGTCTGACGGCGTCACGTGGCAGTGACAGGAAGACTCCTTGGTTTTCAGACATCTTCATGTCTCCCCAGGGATGCTGGAGACGGGTCAAGCCCCGAGATTGGCAGGGCCTCAGTCCCTAAGGCCACAGGCCAGGGTGTAGCCGGACATGGTGCTGGAGAGTCTGCACACAGAGGACTGTGCCCCTGGGGCCGCACCTCCTGACGCCTCCCATCTGTCGGCTTCCCTTTCTGTTCTCAACTCTGTGCTGTTAGTAGCGAGCATTCTATTTTACCTGCTTCTGTTAGTATTATTGCTTCGCCTGCATTTCCTCTCTCCCTAATAGACATGTCAGCTGCTCAAGGGAGAAGAGAGTCCTATTTTTCTTCTGCTCTCTGCCCTGTGCCCAGAAGCACCTCCAGCACCTAACAGGCGGTCTTTAGCAAGCTGCTGAACGGCACTAAAATGATACCCTCGTTTGCAGTAAAGCTCTGATGCAGCCCCTGTTTGTGCAGTGTCTCCATCCTCTTGTTAGACTTCCTGTCTGGGCCTAAAGGCAGGTTGGGTGCCAGGGCCCAGTTTGTACCCAGAGGTATTCTTGTCAGTTGGACAGAGGTTAGGTGTGTTTCCCGGACTTGTGACAAGAGAAATGGACGGTGTAGGCATGCTGGTCCCAACTGGCGTTCTGCCCTGAATGCCGCCCCAGCCACTGCAGAATTCATATTCAGGGCTGGACGGTGGCTTCTGTGATTGGAAATCTCTTCCACTCAACCCCATTATCCTCTCACTTCCCACGGCTTGATTGGAAGAGGAGGGATTTAAAGATATTTTATGTTTTCTCAAATTTGATGGTAATGAAACTGGATGTTGAAATTTGAGCCGAATAAATCATAGCTAACAGGACATCTTAGGGCCCTACGTGTAAGGACTAGAATTGTGACTGGAGAGTTTAGCTTCTGTGTCCTTGCCAGGTGAGGAAGGAGACGTGAATGTTCGTAAGCTTGTCCTATGCCCTACGTACTTCGTCTTGGATCAGGCAGCCATCACAGCAACAGTGTGAGAAGTGCATTTCTAGACTCTGGACCTAGAAGCTGGACCCGAGCATCACAGCTTAGGAGGAGGCTTTTGAATAGATCCACTTTGCGCTGCAAGAGGAGACAGGGAGAACAGGCAGCTTCTCACAGGCGCGGCCCTGGCACGTAGAGCAGTGAACCTGCTGGGGCAGGGGGGCACCAGGACCGCTGGGGAGGGTGGTCAGTGACCCGGCCGCAGGCGCCTGGGCGCCAGGACCAGCCACACCCGCTTTGCCTTCTCCCCGCCCTGTCTCAGCAGGGGTGTGCCGCAAGCCAGCATTTCAGCAGCTCACATACTGAAGTACCATCTGATAGTGCTCTTTTGCTGTTAGTTTCCTAAATAGTTCCGATGAGTGGCATTTATTATTTTTGTTCAAAATAGGTCATGAGTAAAGTTAAGTTGCTAAATAGGAAAAGCCACTGGGTTAAATATTTATTAAAACCTTCATCCCTCCCTCCATCCTTCCCTGTCTTCTCTCCTTCCTTCCCAGAGAGCAAGACTCATGAAGAATCTATGTGTATCTGCATCTGTCTCTCTCTGTCTTCTCTCCGCACCTCTGAAGGTGCCGTCTCTGCATGTCTGTGTCTAGATCTCTACCTGTGTATCTACCTGTGCATGTGTGTTTGTATCCATGTATCTGTCTAAGTCATAGGGTTTCCATGTGTCAAGTGCCTGAGTACAGGATTTACAGATGTAATTTTGATTCTATGCAACTTCTTTATTCCTTCACTTCAGAATATAAAAGCAGGGTAAAAGAGAAGTTAGAAGAAAGAGCAGTCTTTTAGGGAGAGATGTCCCTTTAAAAAAGAGTGGGATTCCCTAAGGAGAAAAGAGCAGTTGTTCAGAGAGAAAGTGCAGCATTCCAGAAGGCCCAGGGGAGGGAGGCATAACGGTGTGTTTGAGAAGCCAGGGCAGCAAAGAAAACAGCAGGACCAAAAGGTGGTGGCAGTTCATGCAGGAGGCCCGAGGCAGCGCCCTGCTTCGTGCGGGGCGCTGGGGACGAGAGGCTTCCCTGGCGGCTCAGACGGTGAAGAGTCCGCCCGCAGTGCAGCAGACCTGGGTTCAGTCCCTGGGTCAGGAAGATTCCCCTGGAGGAGGGCATGGCAGTCCACTCCAGTGTTCTTGCCTGGAGAATCCCGTGCTCAGAGGAGCCTGGCGGGCTACAGTCCATGGGGTCGCAAAGAGTTGGACACGACTGCGCGACTGAGCAGACGTGAAGCATTGAGAACAAAACCTGGGGTGTGAGGCCGGAGACTGAGGCCTGTGAAAAGGTGGGTCAGTAACCCTTGCTGTAAAAAGAGTAGTGCGATCTTTGGGTTGTTATAAATTTTGTCATTCTTTTTCTTTTTTAGGTCAGGTGTTTGCTTGTACTGTGGCTTTGTGGCCTTTCCTCCCAAATCTCATAAACACTCAACATACATCACTGTGTCAGTCACGGTGTACCACATAATTGTGTGCCTTACGCGTCTTTTTTTCTTTTTTTTCTCTTACGTGTCTTGTGAAACCATCACCCATCATCTCATATAGAGGCAATAGAAAGAGAAGGCTAAGATAGAAACATTGTTTTAATTAACTTATCTTAATGAAACATTTCTTTTTTAAAGGTGATGGGAGAAGACTGGGGGCGGGTGTCTAGCAGGTCGAGCTCACCTCCAGGCCAGCTGTTCTCAGAGTCCAGGGAGCATCGGCGTCACTGAAGGGCTGGCTGCCCTGCACTCGGCCCGTCCCTCCTGAGGTCCTTGGTGGGGGCGGGGGATGGAGAATCGGTGCATGCAGCCCACGGGGCCCACATGTCACAGACGGGCTCCAAGCTGTAAGCAGCCATCACCCCGGGTGTCAGGTAGAGCGTGATGGGGACAGTCTCACACTCAGGGAAGTCTCTTTTCAGTGTTGAAGGTGAATTTCCCGAAGGGGAGCTCTGGGCAGAGGGACTGGGTGGGGGCCCTGGCTGCTGTGTTTGCTGGGGGCCGACTCCACAGGTGAGCAGACCCCACCCCCGCTCTCCCCCTCAGGATGAGGGCAGGTAGATGCGCCTGGCTCCCATCGAGAAGCTTCCCAGCTCAGCGCATGGACCCACAGATGCAGGGCCTTTGCAGTGGGGCCATCCCTCACAGGACAACTAGGAGCTGCCCAAGCTCTGCCCACCACACACCAGGAGCAGAGACGCACAGAAGGGACAGAAAACCTAAGCAGCTTCATGGAGAGCTCGCTTTCAGACCCAGAGCTCTCAACTCAGAGCCAATGGTCTGAGCTCTGCAGTAAGTGTGTGGTGGAGCAGGGGAGGCTGAGTGAGGTGTAGATCAGGGTGCGTCTCTTACATCTTATGGCCCGTTTCTTGTTTACTGTATTGCAGTGGACGCCTTGCACTTTCCCAAGTGAACACGGAGTAAGAAGCAACCACAGCGACATTTATCCCAGTGTGAGGATTTCTTGATTTCAGTCTTGAGCCTGGACCCATGGGAGTGTCACTTAAACACTCACCATGTTGTTCTGGGCATGGTATCCTGAATTTCAGTGAAGGAGCATGGGTTAGCTAAGGGGCTGGTGTGTGTAGAATCAGCATAGCTCGTATTTTAATCATGCTATAGGACCACACGGGGTTTGTCTTCACCACTCCTGGAGGTCTGGGACCCTGAGCCATTGCGGGTGACCCCATCGCGATGTGCCTGACCTGGGGGTGGTCTGCGTACAGGGCGCAGGCACAGTTCTGAGGATGATAACTGGCTTGGCTGTTTCAGCATTTCCGTTTACTCCTGTTGGACTGGTCCACCAGACAAGGGTGCGGTAGTGAAGGCCATGCCGGCAGGGCCGGCTGGTGGGCTTCTGCCAGGCCCAGGGGTGTGGTGTGGACGGGCAGCACATGCAGCATGGACCCCGGGCCCCCACCCTCGGGGAAGGCATCTGCTGCCTGGGGGCTGGGTAGGGCCTTGTCAGTGCAGACCAGGGCCAGGGCCGGGCGTGACCTGTGTGCAGAGACGTCTGCCCATGGAGAGCTTGCGCCCTTGGTGGAGACGCAGGTCTCATCAACATTGGGCGATGTTATTTGTCATAGACTAAATGCACATGTCTTCTTAAAAGGTATAATGTTTGCTGATGTTATTTGTCACAGACTGAATGCATGTGTCCCCTTAAAATGCACACAGTGACGTGGGACACAATGTGACGGTGTGAGGAAGGGGGTGGGGGTGATTAAATTCAGATTCGCTGAGGGCGGTGAAAGGGTGTCGTGAGGGGGGTTAGTGCCCATGGCGGCATCAGGACCATGCGTGCTCCCTCGGCCTTCCCGAGTGCGGACGGCGCGTCCAGTCTGCAGCCTGGCGGGAACCCATCACGGCCTCTGGGATGGTCACACATATTCAGTACAGCAGCTGCACAGAGACTGTTTTAAATAACAGGTAAGTTGCTGTGCAGAGTGTCCAGTTATCCTGTGTTTGCAGAGTCATTCCATTGGTCAGTTATTTCCCTCCTCACAACCTGACAGAGCGGGACAGGACCTGAGATGTAACGGGAGGGGGCTGGGAATGACTGGGGGAGACCCCGAGGCCAGGCTGAGCCTCCCCAGCACCGCCCCTTCACCGAAAACCCCGGGCCGGCCCCGCTACCTTCCCGGACCGTGTGCACGTCTGCACGTCAGTAACCGAGGCAGCACCACACCCCCTGATCAGGAGGTCACCTTGTGTTCTGGGCCAGTTTTTTCATCCTTTTCAGGACAACTGAGCAAAAGGTTACAAGAGTCATTTTGAAAACAGCGGGGATCTTGAAGATCTCTGTTTGCGCCAGTTTACTTCAGAAGGACATCTGGGAGGTATCCGTTCCTGCTGTGCGTGACCGCAGCTCTGAAAATTAAGCTTCCCTCCATCCTGTAACACCCAGCGGAGCATTTGCATCGACTGGGTTCAGAGGTCTGAACCTATAGTTACTCATCTCGTTTAGCTTCAGTAGCTCTACTTTCGTGTTATCAAGACATTATATCATGAAAGCAATGAATAGATTGTTGAAACCACCGCAAAACTCTGTCATCTAATTTAATAGCTCACTTTAAGGATGGACGCCACTTAGCAGAGGGACAGTATGGGGACCCCAAGGGGGCCCGGGTGCCGGGGACTGAGAGTAGGGCTGGCCTCCTCGGCTCGCAGGCTTACTTCCTGCCTGGGGCCCCGAGCCTGAGGCGGCACCAGGGCCGTTTCCTCACCCCTGTGAGCCTCCTTGCTGTGCCCTAGAAATCGGGCTCTTGGATATGAGAGTCGAACCAGCCCTCCCAAGTCCTGGGTCTGTGCTTTATGTCCCTCTCAGGCCGTCACCAGGAAGCTGAAAAACACCGCAGTCCTGGGGCAGCCCAGGACACCCCACCTCTAGACAGTTCTAGCAGGACTGTGTGCCCTGCAGACCCTCGCGGGCACCAACGACTGTCTTGTTAGTGACCAGGCCTTCCAGGCCCTCGAGATACAGAGAAAAGAATGCAGCTGCTCGTCTCGGGGGAGAGGTGGGCGGATCACAGCACCTAAAAGGAGACGCCGCTCCTGCTGGGACAGGGCTGTACAGAGTGTGACGGGGCCACCTGATATGGGGTCCCCCTCCCTCTGACCCTCATGGGTGAAGCCTACCTTCCTCCAGGGACCAGCCCCCGGGGACGTCTCCTGAGCCCAGCTGACACTGCAGCGAACAGTCTCTCACTCATTTAACGTACGTTTGATGTGTACATGTGATATATGTACGTACATTAATCATTTCTTATGTTCAGTGTGGCAGTTTAAAATAAGCATAACCCTAGAGATAGGAATTCCACTTATGCAGATTTATGTTAAAGAGATATAAAATGTAAACTCCTTGTTCACCTCTGAACCCCAGCACCTGGAATAATAAAAAAGCAGAAAGCTTTCACTGGGTATTTATGGAATCTTGAAAAAAGCCAAACTAATACATGTAACATACGTGCAGAAACATTATTTTTGTAACAGCAAGAAATTAGAAGCCATGGTGAATGTTCCATCAAAGAGAACTGGTTACATAAGCTTTAGTCCATCCAGTACATAGAGCTGAGTGGACACTTAAAGTCATGTGTATGATGAGTATGTGTGTGGAAAGATAGGCTCCAATAGTGAGAAATTATATACAACCTTATGTTAATTAGGCTGAAAAAATAGCATAAGTAATGTCACCTTACTTTCATAGAACATAAATCTAAGCATCTATGTATATACAGAAAATATTGGGAGAAAGCTATTCATCAGGACAGGAGCAGTACCATATTTGCATTGGACAGGTTATAGTGATAATCTCCTTTATATATTTCAGCCAATTTAGAGTTATCACCTATGATCATTAATTCTGCAATAGAAAAATAGGCTCTTTTATCTTTTTAAAGAATAATGATGTACTTTTGAGTAGTAGAGAGAATAAAGTATTTAAAATTCTCAAATATGGAAAAAGTACTTAAAAAATTAGTACTGCCTCTACCTATTTTGTGCTGGATGCTATAAAACATAAAAAGAAGAGCAACAGTCAAGGATAAAATGATCTTAGACTCAGATTGATCTTAAACAGACTCAGATTGTCCAGCAGAAGAGCCCTGCAGGATGGCATCTGACGTGGACACCCTACGTCCACAGATTCGGAGGGTGACTGACCAACTCAAGGAGAGAAACTGCCTGGTGACAAGAACAGTCAGGAAGCTCCCAGTCAGAGGAGACTAGCTTTCCTGCTTGCGTCTCATTTTTTTAGGAATTGCGTCCACTCTTTAATGAATGGCTAACTCTCACTGCTCTTTCACTCCCCCCAAGACCTCTGCCCACTGAGCACCTGTGTTTTCGGGTTCTCTTGCTTTAAGGGCATGAAAATATCTCGGTATTTGAATGGCCACATCGCAGCCCGTATTAGCTTCATGGTGACAGGAAATATGAATTAAATTCCTGGCCAGATGACCACTGGCAGTTCCCAGCAAGCATTTTCCAGCTGAGTAAACTAATAAATCTATTTATTCTTCATGGATGACAGGGCCCATTAGCTGCGGATGCCTTTGGCAGGAGGTTCTGGAGACAGAAGGTCATTTGCTCTCACTCTCCTCTCTTTAGATGTAATATGTTCATGCAGGAGGACTCACACAGCCTGTGCTGAGACTCAGAGCCTCGGCTAGTGATGAAATGCATGGACGTCAGGAGAAGGGGGGTCTCATTATTCAGGAGGTCGTTCAGATGTGTGGCAGGCATATACTCTGACTTGAGCATGATCAGTTCATAAAAGAGCCTGGTCAGAATGCATTACGTCAGCATTTCAGGTGTGTATTTGTGAAGACATTTTCTATGACCCGAAATAAATTCGATTCTGAGCGTCCAGGCCGTCAGGGCAGAGGGGCCCCTATGGCCCCTGTGGACCCGACCATAGAGAGCACGCCAGCTCTTCAGACTCTCGGGGAGGGAGAAATTTCTCACCCAGAATTCATGTGAGCAGTACATTTAGAGAAATATCCTTCCCCTAGTTAAAAAGCAGAGACAGTAGATGGTTTTGTGGGTGGTTTCTCACAGCCGCAGCCCTCCACCTGGCCAGGAGTGGACGGTCCAAGTAAAACCCCTGGAGGGCTTTTTTTTTTTTTTCCAGGAATCATTTTGCCATTTCAGTGGGGTTGAGCCAGGAAGAGGCAACAGTAACTTTAAAAAATGAGTCTATTCATTCAACACAACTATCACAGCTACTCAGCATCGTCACTGTGCTAGAAGCGGAAACCACACACCACAGATGCTCTGCCCCTCAGGCTCTGCCTTCTTTGCCAACTTGTTCTGAGCGCTGGGGCTGGGGCAGGACTTAGACACGCAGAGGGAAACCTTTCGTGTGGGCAGAAGTGCCTTGGCCCCACGGGATGTGGACCGGGAGCAGGGCTGCCCCTGGAGGAGACGTGGAGCGGGTTCTGAAGGGCGGAGAGGGGAGAACGAAGGACCTCAGGGAGGACACGGCCCTGGGCGGGGGGAGCTGCGTCCACACTCGCTGCTGCACGAGACAGCGCAGGGACCTGGTGGGCCAGGATGTCCTAGAGATGGGCGGAGCGGTGAGCAGAGGGCAGACTTTATCCTGAAAACTAGGGAAGGTTTTAGACGATTCTGAAAAAAAATGCTGTCACCCTCACAGAATCCACTTTGCTTCATCAAACTCACACATAACCTCTTTTATCTATTTATTAAAATAATCCTGTCTTTTCCTTCCTGCCTCTTTTGCTGGAGAAAATGGTTCCATTTTTGTGGAGGCTTTAAATAAAGCAGTGTGACCTTTGTGTGGGGGTCATGTCCAGGGCCGCCTCTGCACCACCGCCCCCACCCCCCTGAGACCGCTGCGTGCTGCGTGCAGTCACAGAGAGTTCTGTCCAACCTCTCGCTCCTCTTCTGCGTGGCCCTGGCCTGCCCTTAGGATGCTTCACTCTTCCATCTCCCATCTACTGCAGGGGGCCGCACCCGAGGGCTCCGGTGTGGCTGTGTTGGGCGGGACTTGGTGCTGGGCTAAGGTTCTGCCTGAGAACTCAGAGAGGGGTCTAAGCCCTCATTTCTGTCTTGAAGCCGTCATTCACACCTATCAGCCATTAGACTGAGCCCATAATAACAGCAAGCAGCCTGTGCTCCGTGTGGGAAGGTATCCGCTGGCATCACCGTCCTCGGAAGTGACCAGGGAGGGATCATCCAGGAACAGAGTTAAATGAAACTCAGAATGCGGGTGCCAGACAGCTGGGCACCAGTTACTCCAAACCAGGGTTGTTTGGAGCAGCTTCCTGGGATCCATATAAGCTCGACATCAGAAACAAGTTGGAAGCAACACAGTCAGAAGATGCTCCTGGGCAGGAAAGGCCGTCAGGACAGGACATCCAGGAGAGTGAGAAAGTGTGATGATGGTGGGGCTGAGGGGTCACGGTGGGGACGGGGAGTGGACTGGCCCCCAAAGCTGTGTGCTCTGAGTTTCAGAGTCCAGCAGTGGGGCCAGCTCGAGGCTCTGGGGCACAGAGGGGACCACAGGGCGCACGGGCCAGAGCTTGACTCCAGGGCAGGAGGCTAGTTCCATCTGAGTGCCCAAGTGGGGACAACGGGGGACGTTAGGAGGGGTGAGAGGTGACATGTGGGCTGCCCCCACGTAAGGGCTCACAGACAATAGGATGGCCAGGGTTTAACCCCGGGACCCAAGCCGCTGCTCTGAGCGCACAGCCGGGCTAGTCTGTCCAGAGCCTGGAGGAGAGAGGATGAGCCTTGAGAGGCATCTGGGTGAGTCCTCTGGGGCATTTTCCTGTCCTCGTTTCACTCTGGTATTTAAGGAGCAAGCATCTCTGGGCCACTGACCTTCGGGCGTGGCCCTGGCTTGCTGACACGGTGGCCGTGCGGCTGGTTTGTCCGGTCTGTCTGTCCATCCCTCCTGTGACTGCACGTCCCCCTTGACGGGGGATCGTGGTGTCACCCTGGGAGCTGGGGGAAAGACTGTTCCAGTGCTGTGACATCTGTTGGGAGAACCCAGATCACAGGGCTGAGGGCATGAAGAGCTAATCCAGCGCCCATTCTTCAGAGGGAGACGCTGGTGTCAGAGGCGAGGGGGGCGCAGAGGCAGTTGGCCTCCCACCGCTTGGAGCTGGGGTTGGGGCGGTGTGACACGGGTCCATGGCCCCTGCCCATGACCTGAGTCCTGTCTTCCCACGAGCTTGCTCAGCCAGGGAGCTTTGGGGCCAAGTCAGCCTTGTTCTGGTTCTGTAACAGAGTCCAGCCCCGCCCTGCTGACCCCTGATCCCCACACTCCCAGCCGCCCCCCTGAGTGCCGTCACCCCACTGTGCTTCACTGCCTGGTGAAGGCTGCAGTGGAGTGGAGCAAACAGTCCTTGTCCGAAATTGCCAAAAATAGCCTGGCTACTTTTCTCTTAACTTTGAATTTTAATTGTGACCTTCCGTGGGGTGGAAGTAGCAGAGCCCCAGGGCCTGAGCATAAGGCCAGGTTTTCTGTACAACTCTGGGGACACAGGGTGTCCTGGACCAGAGCTTCCTGGCCCAGCGGCTGTGCTGGACCGGCCTCGGTGAGGGCTCTGGGCTCCAAGTCGTGGGGACTTGCCCTACGAACTCACACGTCTGCATGTTGGAGGGGTTAGAGTCCCCAGTAAATGCTATGTGTTTCCTACAGCTGTTCTCCAAATGCAAACAGACTGATTTTATTATAAATATGGAACCAGGGCTTCAGGAAGGCGTTGGGCTCCTGAGAATGTCGCAGGAGGCTGATCCAGACTGAGGGAACAAGACTCCCTGGGTGGCAAGCCGGTTCCCCACCATCAGGCTGTTAGGGTTGTGAGCTGGGCGGGTCTTTGGGGGGGGGGGGGGAGAGCTGTTCTGCACTTGGCAGGGTGTTTTGCACCACCCTTGGACTCCAGACAGTGCCAGACGCTGCCCTCCCACCCAAGGAGGACCCCGGTGGGGAGACTGGTCCTTATCACAGCCCAGTTCTCCCATCACCTTCCCTCCCGAGTCACAGTGGAGCGTCCCCAGGAACCAAGCTCTTCAGATGCAGCCTCAGGTCTAGAACACACTCAGCTTCCCTTGACACCACTTTCAAATTTCTCTGTCCTCCTGAGATTCATCCTGTGTCCTCCCCACTTAAAAGCTTCTGGTGATTTCCCTCTGATTCTGAGCACATTAGTGGCTCAAGACTGTCTTTCTCCTCTGTCCTCCTGTCCGTGTTGGGACATCAGATCACCAGTGAGGTATGAGGGTGTCCTGGGTCATCAGTGGGATGTGGGAGGTGTCCTGGGTTATCAGTGAGGTGTGGGGGAATCCTGGGCTCCCAGGAAAGTTCTGGAGGACAGCCCTGTGGTGTCCCCAAGGACTGGGCCACTGCTGTGTGTGGTGACAGCAGGGTGGTCAGGCAGAGACAGTCCTGATCTGTTGTCTGGGGGCCCATGGCTGTATGTGCCCTGCTCCAGGCCCCACTTCCACATCTGCATAGGTGGACCTGCTGGCTGGCAGTCCCCTGTGTTTGATTCAGGGATTTCCCTAGTTCGGCATTGTTCTTCATTCCTCCCAAACAGCTAACCGCCCTAAAGCAGTCTTATCCTGGAAGAACAGTGAGTGCTAGTGGAGAGGTAAAAACAGTCATTCTAAGATATTTTAATAGTTACCTTGTTGTAATTCTATGGTATTTGTAAATCAATTTGACTCAGCAGCTAAATTGATATTTCTCTGGCCTTTAGTGACCAAGCTCCAGTGTATTAAAGATTTTGCCAGGCGTCCCCACAGTGAACACCAGCCACATCCACTGAACTTCCGTCCTGGGTCTGTTGACCTGCAGCCCCACGTCTCTTAATGAAACACATCTTATGCTAACTGTTCTGCTTCAGCGTTAATTTTAGCTATTCGATTTGAAACTTATGTGTTTTAATCGTGTACAATGAACAGCTAAATTATATACTATTGTAACTCAAAGAAAACAGACTTTTGTATAATCAAAACACACAAAAAATGTGCTGTTGAAAGCAGGGAGTTTCAGTGTTAGTAAGTATAGGACCAGAAGAGCAAAAGGAGCCTGACCTTGAGGCCTGGAAACCCAGGTTGACACCAGAGCCGCAATTTCTGACTCTCATTGAGCCAAGTTGCCTTCTCCTCCCTGAACCGGTGTGTGTGATTTGTGAAGCAGTGGGAGACTAAGCTGGTGAGCTCTGGACAGGGCAGACGGGTGACGGTGGGGCACGCCAGGCCTGAGCTGGACCCGCCGGGCCTAGCTCCTGGCTCCGCCCATGCTCCTGGCTCCGCCCACCCGACACTCCTGGCTCCACCCACCCCTGCGCTCCTCTCTGCCCACCCCTGCGCTCTGTCCAGTCCAGCTTGGAACCACCTGTGACGTTGCTGTGTCTACCCCACGTGGCTCAAAGCTCACCATGCTGTTCTACCTTCATTTAGGTAGCTTCCAAGCTAATTTTCATGGACGTTTCAGAACCTGAATTTGCAGAAAGCTGAGCACCACGTCCCTGAGTCTGAAGCCTGTTTCCCGTCATTGGCTCTGTCCTCGAGATTCCCTGCTGTGCTTCTCCAGCTGCGTTCGTGTCCCCATCTGTCTGACAATCGGGGCACCCCTGCCCAGCATGCACGCCCACGCCAGGATCTCTCTGCTCCTAGAGCAAGACAGCCAGGCGAGATCCGGAAGGAAAGCAGGTGCCGTGGGTGTGGGCCGGACGTCCAGGGCCCTCGCCCAGCCTCCTCCTCCCTCCCTGCCCCCAAGTCCTCTCCAGAGGTCTGCACCACTTGCCTCTTCTCCTACATCCACTCTTGACCCCTGTCCTCCCTGGAGCCCTTCCCCCAGCACGGGGACCCCTCCCCCAGCACCAGACCCCCCTGTTGCAGCATGTCAGGGCTCCTCCAGGCTGCACCCTCCCAACCAACTGCTGTCTTCTCCACCTGCCTCTCACTGCTCCTCCTCCCCCGTCTCCTGTGGGCCTGCAGGCCCCATGGCAGTTCTGGAATCCCACCCACCACACGGGCCTCAGGCTGGCTTCCTCTCAGACACCTGCTACCTGACTGGTACTCGTATCTGATCTCCCAGTTCAGTGCTTGGAGATCCGCTAGGTGCCTCCCTGACCTGTGGGCGGGGTGGGGGCATACGCTGGGGACAGCGTGTCCCCCACAGTCTCTGGCCCGTGACGCCCTGCTCTTTGCCTGGGGCTCTAATCTACAGAGTGCCGGTAACAGGGCTCCTTGGGAAGATCACGGGAAGATTCACACGTTCCCACAGGGAATCAATGCATGCTTGGCTTTCTTCCTGGCAACAGTAGGGCTCGGTGAGCTTAAGGGGAGTATCAGCTGTTACCCCCACCCTGACTCAGGTACACCCTTCCTGTCCCCACATTCCCAACGCTTGGGGCCACGTGCCCCTTCCTGAACACGCACCACCACGTCAGCCGTGTCCTTTCCCTGAATCCCCTCTTCCCGGCCCGCCCCCATCCCCGCCGTCGCTCCCGTGCTCCTCGCAGTCGTCGCGCGGTCGTGCTCTGTTCCTCATCGTGGCTCCTCCTCCGTGACGGTGCCTTCTGCCCTGGGTCCTGCTCCATCCTCTGCCGTCAGCCTCTCCCTGACAGCACTTTAAACATATAAAGTTGATGACAGAAGAAACATAGGCTGGGAGGCCGGACAGAAGAACCGACGAGTGGACGGGTGTGTAGAACAGGACAGAATGGGTACGTGTCTGTTGTCAGCAACAGTGAGCTCCGCCTGGCAGGGGAGTGCAGAGTCCAGCGGACCCTGCCCTGTGGGTGGCTGCCGCCTCGGGGTCACCGTCCGTTCAAGTCCAGTGGCTTCTGCCCTCAGCACGTCTTGATTTAAAAGCAGCAAACAGCCTGTAAGATAAGCACCAAGGGCCTTGGTCGCTGTCTCCCCTGCGTCCAGTCTGTGGCTGTGTGTGCATGTCTATACATACACAGACAGCTACCCTGCCTTCCTGTGTCTGTCCAAATCTTATCTTCCATCTGGGGACTTGAGTCCAAGCAACCAGAAATTGGCTTTATGATACTGAGCTTTCATTTCTCATTCTCTCCTGGCTTTCTGTTGTTCCTTTATAGTTTAAAATAATAATTTCTTGATGGAAAGTGAAGTTTTTAAACTAAGGATTGGGAAGTATGATAGGTGTTAGAGCTGGTTACTCCTGCAAAGGTGATGAAGGGTGAATATAAAAATAACTTCAAAAGAGCCTGAGATGTTTTTAGGTGATAGAGATGTAACAGACATTTCATAATGTAAGCCAGAGGGACTGTTTAATACTTTTCAAATTATTCTAAATGCTCACTTTGAACATCAAAGTACCAATGTCAGAGACACAGGGGTTATTAACTTGACTTGATATGACACTTACTAGGTTCTTACCCTGACATCTCCATGGAAACTAATCTCCAATGATTAGTCAAGCATTTGAAATTCTAAGTTAATATGTGCCTTGTAATTTTTTGTTTTATTTTTTAGTTTCAGGTCTTTTTAAACATTTTATTGAAGTGTAGTTGATTTATGATGTTTTGTGAGTTTCAGTGCTCAGCAGAGTGGTTCAGTTATGCATATTCATGTATTCATTCTTTCTCAGATTCTTTGCCCGTGTAGGTTATCACAGACTATTAAGTACAGTTCCCTGTGCTGCACAGTAGGTTCTTGTTGGTTATAGTTGGGTGTGTGTATTAATCCCAAGCTCCTAATTTATCCCTCCTCCTCATGTTTCCCCTTTGATAACCATATTTGTTATCAAAATGTGTGAGTCGGTTTTTGTTTTGTAAATAAGTTCATTTGTATCATTTTTTAAAATTAGATTCAACTTATGAGCAATATCATATTATATTTGTGTTTCTCTGACTTACTTCACTTAGTATGATAATCTGTAGTTGCATCCATGTTGTTGCAAATGGCATTATTTCATCCTTTTTTTATGCCTGAGTAATACTGCATTGTATATATGTACCACATCTTTATCCATTGATCAGTTGATGGACATTTAAGCTGCTTCCATGTCTTGACTATTGTAAACAGTGCTGCTATGAACATTGGGGTGCATTACTGTTCTGCATAGTGGCTGCACCAATTTACATTCCCAACATCAGTGTGGGAGGGTATGCTCTTCTGCACACCCTCTCCAGGATTTATTGTTTGTAGACTTTCTTGTGATGGCCATTCTGACTGGTGTGAGGTGATAATTCATTGTAGTTTTGATTTGCATTGCTCTAATATTTAGCAATGTTGGGCATCTTTTCATGTGCCTCCTGGCCATCTCTGTGTCTTCTTCAGAGAAATGTCTATTTACATCTTCAGCCCATTTTCTAAATTGGGTTGTTTGTTTTTTTGATATTGAGCTGCATATGCTGTTTGTATATTTTGGAGATTAATCCCTTGTCAGTTGCTTCATTTGCAAATATTTTCTTCCATTCTTTAGATTGTCTTTTTGATTTGTTTATGGTTTCCTTTGCCGTGCAAAAGCTTTTAAGTTTAATTAGGTCCCATTTGTTTATTCTGTTTTTATTTTCATTACTCTAGGAGGTGGATCCAAAAAGAAATTGCTGCAATTTATGTCAAAGTGTTCTGCCTATGTTTTCCTCTAAAAGTTTTATAGTATCTGGTTTTCCATTTAGCTCTTTAATTCATTTTGAGTTTATTTTTGTGTATGGTGTTAGAGAGTGTTCTAAATGAAATTAGATGTGTCTGTCCAGTTTTCCCAGCAGCACGTATTGAAGAGGCTGTCTTTTCTCCATTGTATATTCTTGCCTCTTTGATCACAGATTAATTAATACGTGCTTTTTTTGTCAGTGAGGTGTCACTGACTGCGCAGTGGTGCTGTACTTTACACTTGTATGGTTGTTGCACATTATCATGGCTGTGTCTGACGTCATGGGGGCTGGAGAGTCAGACTGCATTTTCCATTTTGCGCTGTAAATGACCCGCACGGTCATGGAGCTGGTGGAGGGGGGACGTGGTGGCCATGGGCTCTCCCACCAGCTCTGTCTGGGGAATGTCCACAGAGACAAACGCCATGACGATTCAGCCGAGGCACCTACAGGGAGCAAAATAAGTGAAAAGGAGCAAGGCAGCGGCGGGTCTGGGTTGGGCATCCTGGAAGGAAACTCTCCTTAAACCTCCACCCAAGCCCTTCTCCTGCACCTCCTGGAACTTCAGGCATTTGTTCCAGAGTGTGAACCTTAAGCCCGTTCTCTGCATGCAGCCAGTTAGCATAAATGCTTCTGGAATTCGCACAGAAGGCGCTTCTGTTCACAGCCACAGGCTGACCTGGTGGGACCCGGCCCTCGTGCTGCCAGACTCAGGCATCTGTGCAACACGCCTGCTACCCCGCAGAGAGGAACCCAGACGGGGCAGCGGGACCAGAGGCGCTGTCCCCTGGTACCTGCAGACGCCCCTGCAGCAGGGGGCTTGCCACACGATCCTACCAAACCCCTGAGCAAACACCACCATTACTGCCTTCATGCTGACAGAGGAAACCAAGGCCCAGACGGTTTCTGTCTGATGTAGTGTCTTTCTGTCTTTCTGCTCTGAGAGATAGTATCGTGGAGAGGGTGTGTAACCAGGCTCACATGACCTTTTTCCAGGTCAGTGCAGTAAGCAAACTAGAGATGTAAGTACCCCAAGGAAACCAGGAGCTAGAGCGGGGATGGGGGGGCAGTGGGCTTGCTATCTCCTCTCCATCAGCCCCAGGGTAGCCCCCCATCCCTCGCTTGGCAGAGCTCTGTGTAGAAATCACAGAGGTCTCCGAGCAGACTGCAGGGCCCTGGCATGATTTCAGGGAGACCGAGCAGGACCCACATCAATGCAGCTAATGTGTCTGAAGGACTTGATTAGTGCCCCGTCTTCATGGCAGAATTCAGAGGCTTGCAGCAAGAAGCTGCAGCACCAGGAACCTTTGGCTCCTCTGAGATGTTGTGTTTTCAAAATGTAACTGCTGCTCACCTTCACGCATGCTGAAGAACAGAAGACAAGACCTGAAGTAGCGTGTGCTTGGGGGTCTGTGTCCTGTCGAGTCCTCAGTGTGGGACAAAGAACCCTCTGCCCTCCAGAACACCATGACCTTCGTTAGTCAGGGAAGGTCCTGACTCCTGCTCCATCAGGAAATCACGAGTCTCCACCAGGCAGTGTTGCCACAGGGGCTGGGGCCTTCTTGGAATTCTCTTGCAAAGATCTTGAT